TGCTGAAAGTATGAGCAGATCTGATGTTTCTGGTAAAAATTAGGTTTTTCTTTTTTACATGAACATAGTTTTCTTCATAAAATTCCTCTTGTGCTCGTCTTCGCTCCATGATTCACTGATCATCAGCCGCCTGTCAGAGGAAATGTTTTCTTGTTTGCCTTCCTTTACTCAAAGTATGTGTCTGAAGTGCTTGTGTGCAGGAGGTAGAGACAGAAATGTGTGTGTGCATTATCTCGCCCTGTTGGCAGGAGCAGCCACTGTAGAGCTGACTAATGCAGAAATAGACTGCAGGCTAAGCTGCTTTTTTTTCCTCAAATGTCTTAAAAAGCGAAAGGCTGCATTCTGTGGCCCTTTTTCCTCCGATATTTATATCCCTTCATCCAGCGGTGGAGAAATGTGCGTCATCACTGAGAAGCTCACCCAAACAGTCACCCACTCAGAGAAAAGGTGTCAGTGGCACTGGAAGGTCTGATGAAAGCTAATTATGAAAACATTTTATTTGATGTTCACATGAGTGAATGTTGTTTTAGATACGCTCTGTTTGTTCTGCTGCTAATGGCTCCTTTAGATACATTTCATTACATTGAATAGGTTCAAGAAACGAGAAGAATCACATTCTGCATCAGACCTGCATTCAGTACAGTCCTCATTATGATGATGTAGATATAAATAAATAGATTGGTTTAACATTTCACAATAAACAACCTCATTAAAATACAGCGTTGGAACATTTTAAAACTGATAAATATTTAAAGGGCATCCATAATTGTATTAGTTCCTTAATAAAACAAAGAATTGCCTCCCATAGTGGGGACGCGCCTCCTAGGGAGCGTCTAGTGTAATTGCAGGGGGCCTTAAGAGAAATTAACTGAATAAATTACCTATTTTGAGAGGAGCTTTTTTCTTAGCATTTATAGCAATGATGAATTCGGTTACAAAGTAAAAAGTAAACATTGGAATAATAACATTTTAAATGTGGTAGTTTTTGATATAAAGAAGATCAAACACAAAATAATGAAACCGCTTTTGGTATATACTTAATCATATTTAGTTACTTTAGTTACTAACCTGCTAACATGAACATAATTGTGTTAAAGTAACTAAATATAATTAAGTAAATGCAACAAACGGTTGCATTAATTTTTTTAGTGAAGTTTATCTTATTGCAATATTGCATTTTACTGCAGTCAGCTTTTCTTTGTTCAACAGTTGAAAAGGTTATTCGGAGGGTTTATTGGGGGGTTCAGAAAAATGAGGGAACCACTGATAAGAAGCTATCTTTGATTATACTTTTCATGAACTCCTTATTCTTATGTTCTATTTGAAGGGTTGCATATTGAATAACGAACTATGAGATTTAGGTTTATTTCTTAGGATTTGTTTAGTTAGTGTGAACCTGAAAATAAACCAACACATCAAATAAAGGTTAGAAGAACCAAAAATCATCAAAACTAATGAAATAGACCTGCTGCGTCTGTTGAATTGCTGTGTGGAATATCAGAACTGTAAAGGAAGACTTGTTTGCAATAAAAAGTTATATTTCTGTGTTGTGCATTCAGACTCTGCTGATCTGCAAACATCGTTTTGCCTGTTTAAACGACTCCAAGGTTCCTTGGATAAATCCACCACGTGGATTTCCTTAATGGCTCAGATTTAAAAGCTTGTAGAGACATTATGTTAGAGTGACTGCGAGTTGAGGGTGAATCTTGATCTATATTTATATTCTATATGAGCTCATCTGTAGATGGTTGCAGGAAAGGTAGCCACAGGGCGAATGAGAGTGGCTAGTTTTTCTACCAAAGGAAAACTCAAACATGCATGAGGAGAACTAATTATTTATTTAGATAACAGTCACAGCACATATCCTCTCATCATCTTTACAGAGGAAAGTTAGTTAAAGCATACACTGGAAAAAATCTAAATCTAGATAAGTAATTTTTTCTTAAAATAAGTGCATTTATTCTTGAATTGAGGCGGTAAAAGACACATTTTGCCAATGGAACAAGACGATTGCATTTTCTTATTTTAAGTGCTTTTTATCTAAATATCTTATTTTAAGAGTAAGAATACTCATTCCATTGGCAGATCATCTTATTTATCTACTCAAATTAAGGGTAAATACACTTAATTTAAGACATTTTTACTTATTTCTAGATTGTACAGACATATTCAATACTAAAAGACCCAAAGGTGGGTTTTACACCCAGAACCATCTTGCTGCAAAGCAACAGTGCTTTGATCCGAGCCACCATGCTGCTTATAATCTATATTCTTATATTTGCAGCAATAGTCTCTAACTTCAGCAATGTCCTTTTAACATACGGCTCTAAAACTGTTTATAAGTTAGCTAATATCAAGTCATTAATAATCTGATGTGATAAAAAAACAACTATAATGATTCGAAGATGATTAAGGCTAATTATGGATAATTAAGGTTCCATCATGAAAGCTTTTACTGAGGAGAGTTCCTCCTCTCCTCCATTAAAGGAAACCTGTCTGTTTGCTCCTTTGAGGCCTGGCTCATGATTGCAGATTATTTCACGTCGAGGTCATTAGGATGATGTGGATTTACAGTCATGGAGCTGCCTGCAGCTGTCTGACAGTGACACAGCCACCAGGAGATCAGATGGTGCAGATCTGAACACGCTCAGTGGCATCAGCCTACCACAGGATGCATGATTAATCTGTGGACGGGGGTCTGAGCCCCCTCCAGTGCAGCTGATGGAGGAAGGGGCTGAGGGTGAGTCTTCCATTAATTAACACCAAGTAATCTGAGGGAAAGCTTCCCCACAGTGACTCCCTCCTCCCTTTGTTACAGACCCGGGTTGGGTGGTGTGTGCGTGTCGGGGGAGGCAGAGGGAGGAGCGGGAGGGAAAGGGGGGAGGATGGGGAAGGCCATCTGCCTCTGAGCTTGCTGGGTCAGGAGGCTTTTGTTGTGAAGGAGTGATGAGGCTGATAGATGGTGGTTGTCACCTACTGCTGGTTTAATCAACTGAAAGTGTCCCAGCGTGTGATTCCCCCACTCCACGCACACCTACACCTCCCACGGTGGAGAAAAAAAGGTTTGCCTCCTTTATAGAACCATTTAAAGTTGGATTAATAGATTACAGTAAGAAATTGCTGTAGAAATGCTATGATAGTGTCATTTCTCATCACATTTTCATCTCCGCCTTTAGTTTCCTTCTTATTTCAGCTATTTAAAGAGTTTCGTGAAAAGAGCGGCATCCTTTCATCTCCCGCTGTCATCTCGACCTGAATTCAATCAGAAAAGATTGGAGATAACGCCGGGAAGTGCGCATGCGCGTTGGCTAATTAAAGCTGCTGTGTCAACCTGCATTGGGGACGGAAATCAATTTGGCGGATTTTCAAAATAAAACTAATGTCTTTGGTTATCTACAAAACTAACTACAAACAAACAAACAAAACAAAAACAATTCACAAAACTGAAACACTTAGCCAGGACAGTGCTTTATGTTATGCTTCATGTTTCTATTAAAAAAACAAACAAACTTGGAGATGATTGGACTATGTCCATTAAAGTAACTATTTTTAATTTAATCATTTAGCACCGCTGTTGGGACATTGAGTTAAATTCAGTTTATCTATGATTAATGAAATACATGTTCTTAAAGTTTTTTTTGTTTTATTTTTTTTTTTTTTGTAGTATTTGCTTTGACTTATATACAAATACAATTTAGATTTTCTCTTTCCCCAACTGTTAATAAAGTATTTTGGAACAAACTGAAATAATTGAGTTTCTAATTAATGTTTCAAAGTTAATGGTTCAAAGCAAACTTGTGGAATCTGTTAAATTCCAAAGAAGAAAATGTGCAATGTTTTTCTTAAGAGACCAAAAAGTTTCCTTCATGATTTTTAAACAGTTAAATGCATCAGTAAATTGATTTTAAGATATTTGCTATTAGAAACTGATTTGAGGGATGGTTTCTAGATTCAAAACATGATTTTATTTAACTTCGTATTAAATGAGCATTTTTAATTCAATTCAATTCAGTTTATTTATATAGCGCCAAATTCACAACACATGTCATTCCAAGGCACTTTACAGTTTAACTGATAATAAATCGATTAACTTAATGTTAAACAGTAACCCTGAATATTTATTGTGAAAATATGACATAAATAACAGGTCAATACTCAAAAATTGAAATAAAGATCAGCTATTGTTTTTTGTTATAGAAGATTTATAAAAGACCTGGCCTATATATATTTATATCTTGATCATACAAAGCTTTTTAATATATGTTGTGTTTTTCAGTGTTCATTGGTTAATTTGTGAAAGATGTATGCTTGTTGACAAGTTTCGTTTTTATTCGCAATAAATGTCTAAAATGTAGAAATTATTAAGTCTTCAGCGTGTTTATATACGCGGTTTTTTCAGTCTACATAAAAAGAGAAAGTGTGGTGGTTTTATTCTGAAAGGTTTCCCGGAAGTCCCCCTAATTAGTGATCTGCAGCTTTTGGAGGCAGCTGGACCGGCGGCAGCAGTAGATGCTGTCCCATCATCAGATCACACCCAACGGGGCCGCAGCGCACCGCTCCTCGGGCTGAGCACCATGACACCCGCAGCCTGAGCCGCACTGAGGACCAGACCCCCGGAGGACCGGCAGCACGCGCACAACACCACGGTCACACGCACAGAGATAAACAGGCGCACGCGCGCGCGTCAGCGATACCGAAGATCCCAGCGACCCTCCCGCAGACACACGGACGGACGGACGGACGGACGGGAGGGAGGCGAACTCCAGCCGCGCCGCGGAGCTGTCGCTGCAGAGAGGCGTCCCGCGAGAGAATTGAGTCATTTCACGCCCACGCAGATTTGAAAACATGTCATCTTCGGGCAAGGACGCCAACAGTGGGCATTACGCCAACTATGTGGGACCGTACCGGCTGGAGAAGACGCTGGGGAAAGGACAGACAGGTTAGTGCAAACCGCCTCATCACCGCACCTCACGCTGCTCTTTAACCGGCCACAGTTTGATGCTGATGGAGGCGGCAGGTGGAGAACAGCCTCCTAAATGCGGGTAGAGGCTGCAGAGAGTGGAGCTGCGCTCATCATGATGATGGTGATGATGTGCCTTTAATGCTTGTTGTCAGGCAGACAGAGCTGGGTGATAATGGGCCCTTCTGAGGTTTGTCTGTCTCTGAATTTCCTCCATCTGTCACTGGGGCCTCTGCACAAGAGGCAGAGCAGTGATGCTGCACCGTCCAAACCTGCACATTCAGGGTGATGCTGCAGCTTTGGCTCCAATGCAGCACAGTCCAGCTCGGTGGGGTGACTGGAACAGCAAGTTGCATGTTCATGTCCTCATTCAGGTCCAGCCTGTGTAGGAGAGGAGAAGTCTGGTGATGATTGCAGAACTTCTTTGCTCAGCAACTCTGGATCCTTTTATCGCAGTGGCTGAAATGTTTAATTAAAGTAAGAAGTGGATGAATCAGGTCCTGTACAGCTGAGGGACATTCAACTTAAAAGATGCAGTGAAGAGCTTCTGATGCTTGTTTGGACTGATAAGACCAGTCCAAATGTGTCTATGGAGACCTGAGAAAATATTATTAGATTATGAGCTAGAAATCAAGATCTTTTGGATTTTTCAGTGGTCTAAACTGCATAATGTTCTTTGTTATGGTGGATTTATTGAAAAAAAAGGTGATTGTAATTGTTTTAGCACAAAAAAAAAATAATGAGCCATCGACTACTTTATATTATGTAAAAAACTGAACAAGTGACACACAAACATACACCTTTAAGCCAGACAAATCAAACTGTACGACGAAACTGCAGGTTTTAAAAAGTTCACAGCTCATGATGTACTGTATGTTCTTCCACTGGATGGCCTGATGCTCTAATGCAGGGGTCTTCAACGTTTTCCAGGCCAAGGACCCCCAAACTGATGGCGAGATGGACCCCCTAATTATGTATATGGTGTGAAATAGTGTTCTATCAAACTGCTCCTATAGTCACTCTATTACAGATGGAGTAATGTAACTAAAGTAATCCCTCCCTGGGATTATTAAAGTATTTCTGCTTCCTGGTTGATTGGACAGGTGTTGTGAATGAAACGGTGCCCAGATTGAAAGAGCTCCTGTGTGTCTCTGAATGTGAGCATTGATGACTGAAAGACATCTTCTGCCTCCATTTATCTGTTTACTGCAGTCTGTTGGATTCATGTTAATGTGGAATTAAAGACTTTCAGTTAGTGGAAAAAATTGCAGGGGGGAATATAAAAAAAAAAAAATCGAATCAGCCAAAACTTTTGCGACCCCCATCCAGTACCTCCGTGGACCCCCTAGGGGTCACAGACCCCCTGTTGAAGACCTCCGCTCTATTGCAATCTACCGTCTTCTCTTCTTCAACTTTTATTGGCATTACGCTGTCACAAGTACAGAGGACTGAAATTCACTCTCTGTATTTAAACCATCTCCTTGGGGAGCAGCAGGCTGCCATTGTGTGGCCCCCGGGTAGCAGTGTGGGGTCAAGGGTCTTTCTCAGGAACCCAGAGTGGCAGTCCGTGGGAGTGTGTGGGACTTAAACTCAGAACCTCCGAGACCCAAGCGCATGCTCTAACCACTAGGCCACCACAGGAAGTAGCTGCTGACACTGTATGTCCAGAAAGCAAACATTGGACTCAGCGCTGAGAGATTGCGCTAGTTGGACTCATCTATCTGGAAAAAGAAGAACTCCCTTGTTTGCACATGCGCAGTGCAGGATCTGCTCTCTAGGGCTGACTGAATTTCAAACATGTTTGATTTTCTCCCGAACCTACGATCCCTGATGGGGAGGTAGAGCTGAGAGGCTGATCTCCCCTCGTTACCCCCTTTATGCTACACGACGCATGATTAGGCTAAAACGCGACACGATCCAAAAAAATCACACACGACTGGAGAATCGACCTAAAAAGGGCAAAAACCTGGACAGTTTATGCCCGGTTTAGGCGGAGATGTTTTCTACAGTAGACTGACTCAGGATGAGTGTGGGTTGCATTCCAGATTCCTGCTTTCACGTGTTGATGTGCCCATGGGCAAGGCATTTTAGCTCATTGTTGTTGTTTGAATGGTCTCACATTTCTTAGGACGCTGAGCGAATGTTTAGGTAGTTTGAAACATGAAATTTCAGTCAGTCTACCGTATATAAGAAGCAATTTAAATGTTGAATTAAAGGGATTCAACAACGGAGCCTTGAGGAACCTCACATGCAACCTTTTTTTGGAGTTCCAGTCTGGATTTACATAAACAGTATGGTCAGAATATTATAACAACCTGAGTTAGAAACAGGAATGAGATCAAGTAATGCCAGCATAGCAGTTTCAGGTGCTTCGGTGAAACCTTTCAGTCTAACTAGGCATGTGAGTTTGTTTACAAACCAAGCCTGCCGGATGCTCTAATTTAGTCATGTGCATCCAACCCCCGTACACCTCATTCAGGCGGCTTATAATTTTGTTTTTTAACACCATCTTTGCTTTAGAAGACGGGGTTAAATTTACATGATAAAAGCTTGGAACTGATCAGAGCTCCAGCACGGCTCTGCATCGTCTTCGTTTGTGATGCTCTTGCATTTAGTGGTGTGTTCTCTAACCCCTAACAGATTTAAACTGACAATAAAATCATCAGGAATTCAAAATATACATTTATCTAATCTAAAAGTGCACTGAAGGGCAAAAAAAGAAAGCAGAAGGCTGATCTTTCTTTCCTGGGATCTCTGGAAGTGAAGCAGCAGCTCAGCTCCTCTGTTTACGGCTCAGTTGGTTCGGTGCAGGTTCCCTGTTTTGGATGCTCCACCATCTGTGATCGCACGCAGCCAAGAATAATCCGGTCCAGCAGGTAAAAGTGATTCGCAGCTCCCTTCCTCTGCGGGGTGAATAATTCATATCCAGCCAATTAGTTTGTCTGCAGACTCTGAGTTGGGTCTTTACAGGCTGCGTTGCCGCCATATTAATCACAGTTTTTCTTTTACTCCTTTGTTCTTAGGCAGAGAGGCGACTGAGCACAACTAAAAGTTCATTTATTTTTAAACCATCTCTGTGTAGACTGACTGAACTTCCTGATCTGTTCCTTTCAAACATGGATCCGGTTGGAGTCACATTGAAGTTCCTCAGCTTTATAGGCTCCTGCAGCTTCCTGAACAGGTTCCTTATGCATCCAGATCCTGTTCCTGAAATGATACAAAGCAGAGAAAATGAAAGAGGAGCTGTTGTCTAACCACTGCTTTCATTCTTCATTTTTAAAGATGATTTGCGGCTGTTTGATCTTCCCATGACTCTCCAGCGCGCTTCTGGAAGCTCATGTCTCAGCAGAAAGTGACGTCAGCTCAGACTTGCATCGGCTCCATGTTGGAGCGAATAAGGAGAAAAGTAATTTTCCTGCAGCTTTAGCTCAGTTCCTCCAAACTAAATGAATCTCCCAGTAGTTTAATTGGCTTTGTTTTCTGCTCTGAATGAGATGCAGCACTGCAGCATCTTCTTCTCTCCCTCTAACGCTGCGGTTTTCCTCCTGGCTCTGGATGATGGTGTGATTATGGATCTGCAGAAGGTGCGATGCTGCAGCAGGAGCTTAGAAATCATGCAGACATGTTGGTCTGTGTTGATGAAGCAGCAGCAGCTCGTGCTGCAGACAGAGGGAGGATGTTAGCTCGCTGGCGGTTTCCGTGGGAACCCAAAGCTGTAGTGCTGAGCTATCAGACTGGGAACTCCGGATACGGTTAAACCTCCTACATGAGTGCAGGCCGGGCTCGCTCTGGCTTCTTGCTGTGTGCTACTGTTTGTGGGAAACACTGCGGGCCTCTGTTAGCTAGCTGCTTGGCTCAGATGTTTGAGATTCTCTGCATTGTTAGGATGTGATAGAAGGATTGAAAACTTCTGAATGGTTCTGATTTTTTTCACCGTATTTTAATACTTTTAGTGGCTGGCAAATGGAAACAGTTTTTATGTAGAAAGCACTTAAAAATTAAAGACAATGCTTTTATAATAAATAAAACTGTTTCATGACCTTGAGAACCATGATTCTGAACCTTTTTCTGGAATAAAGATGTCTCCTTCTCTGGCTCGATATGTGTTTGAACTTCTTTTTAATAAAACTTTAAGCTGCAGTGAAAAAAATGGTTCTCTTCTAATTCTAAATGAAATTATAATTAAAACTCCAGCTGAATGTCAAACATTAGATGCACCTGCAGATAATCGGTTCTGTTGGTAGAAGGCCTGTGATCTACAGCCTTTCTCCAGATCTCTGAAGGATCCTGTGTTCTTTCTGAATGTTTAGTGCGCTGTGTGCAGAAAAAAAAATGTTTTTTTATCTTTTATTTCTATTATTATTCATCCTCATTTAGCTAAAATAAAGAAATCCTGACTGTAAACTGATTGTTTCAGCTGAATCTTGTTTAGCAACCGTAGTTTTTTTAAAATCCGTCTGATTCATGTTATTTTTCCGTCCCGCAGCGATGAGCCCGGAACAATGGCTTCATGGTGTTTGTCCTGCTGAGTGGGGAGAGGCTCCTCCGCCGACTCTAAACAATTAGTTTGTGTTCATGTGTGAGACGCCGTCTGCAGAGGGGGTTATGGTAAAGAAGGCTTTTAAAAACACTACAGACTCCATGCAGCGCTTATTCTCTAGATGCTGGCCGACAGTTTGGATGGTTGTCATGGTTTCAGCTCTCCTCCAATGAGAGGCTCCGTTCCTTTTTTTCTTTGGTCTTCACTGTAAGAGCGCAGACTGCCAGTATTTTCCTCTCTTTCTAGTCATTTCCCAGCCTCCCTGATCTGCTTTTTGACCACCTCTGAATCCCTCAGTGATTTATTATTTTCCTCTGGTGCTGCAGCACAATACATGCAGAATATCTATAACTCTAGTAGTTACAGTACATGCTTAATCCTTAAATTTAGTCCAAAAATTCTTGCTTTCTAGTTATCAAATATTTAATTATAGCTCTTT